AGAAACAATATTTGCTGCAATGTGGAAATCTTTTCAGACAAATACAGTAGCATACTTCTTTTTTCCAATAAAAGTTTATATTCAATATTATTCTGTATTAGTTTCAGATATACAGCAGAGTGTTTAGACAATCATATACAGAGTGGTCTCCCTGATATTTCAAGTACCTCCCTGGCCCCACACATCGTTATTAGGATATTATTGACTGTATTCCCTATGCTGTACTTTACATCTCTGCAACTCTTCTATAACTATTTCTAAATGCATAACAAAGTTCCGTTTAATTCTTTCTACTATTGAGGGGTTTCTGCAAGAGACCAAAGGCCAAGAAAAATAAACCAGCTACCAAAGACCCAGAGATTATAAATCCTAAAGCATTGGTTCTCAACCTTCCTAATGCCGCGACCCTTTAATACAGTTCTTCATGTTGTGGTGACCCCCAATTTCATTGTTACAAATTGAACATAATTAAAGCATAGTGATTAATCACAAAAACAATATGTAATTATATATGTGTTTTCCGATGGTCTTAGGCGACCCCTGTGAAAGGGTCGTTCGACCCCCAAAGGGGTCGCGACCCACAGGTTGAGAACCACTGTCCTAAACAAGGCCAGAGACCACTGCATGAAACTGGCTTTGCCCACCTTAGCTTGTGCCCCATTGTGAAGGTGTAAAGAGACCTCGGTGACCGACGGGGGCAGTGGGGGAGCTGGCAGTGTGAAGGGTTATGGAAAGCTGGGTGGTGTGCTGGGTGCGTGCCCTGCCCTCGCTGCTCAGTCTTAGCATTTCCACCAGCTTCACTTACACCACTTGGAGAGACATGTGCCACCTTAAAACAGAGGGATTTGAGGGCCGATATTTTACTCATAAATCCCCTACATAGGAAAGGCCGTGGCCCTGGTTCCCTGTGGGTGGCAAGTGAACATGAGGTTGCTGTCTTGTCAGAGAGCCTCGCTGCATCCACTGCAGGGCAGAGCCAACAGAGGACCAGGTGCCAGGTGGTGCTGCCAAGCACCCTCTGAGGCTCCGCTCCCTAATAAGCCCTGCCTGCAGAGGTCACAGGGGTCAATGTCATACACGTGGTCACAGGGCATAAGCACACATTATTTTGTAAAACCGGGCAGGGGAGCACAAATGCTTAGGTGCATTTTATCACTTCCCAACACAAAATCTTTTGTGAACTCTTACTGAATGTCAGCATCCCAAATATTAAACTCAGGCCCTTTCGTGACATCTTTGTTAAAATAAGAATTCTGTCCTTGCCTTCTCCATCCATTCCTCCCTGTGTAGGCTTATAAAACTTGTTCACACTTTGTATACAAACCTGAAAATGCAAGGATATGAATGAACATTTTATAAAATACAGTAAACCCTCGATTTTGCAGACCTCAATTTAACGGACTTTGGATTTAACAGACAAAATTTCCAACCCCATACGCCATATGTGAAAATTAACACCCTGTTAATTTTAAAATGCTTTTAACCAAGATTTGCTTCTAATTAAATTCACAGGTTATATATGTTTTTTGTTATTAATACACTGCTATTTTTAACAAATTTTAGCAAATAGGCCATATGTTGGAAAAATGCTTTAGTAATTTCACCGACATAAATAAATATTACATATCTGCAACTATAGTCTACATGTTAAAATCCAAGAGTCACCAGTCGTAAACAATGTTTGGCGAATGATCAGCTGAATAATTAGCATGTAATCACACCAAATGATTAGCTCGTGATCAGACTGAATGGTTACCACGTGGTGACACTGCATCACACGCGGGATCATTGGTTCTGTAGTCTCCTGTTGTGGCTTTCTGCCACAGTTTTACCGTGTGCCCACAATGTTCCCACGTGCACTAAGCCACGCCCCAGCCGTGTACATTTGTTTACTCTCAGTGACTGGTGGGTACAAACATTTACTAGATCTATTCAGTATAAATTTAAAATTGCTGTAATACATATAGAAAAGTTTTCTGTGAAATTAAACTTTCCCTGTATATTTCATTTTAATTATACAAAAAGGTCTACATAAGTAAAAACAGGTAAACTAACTAATTTGTCATTTTTGACATTTGCATTTGGAAGACCTTTTTTATTATATAATGGACTTTTGGCTTTAACCGACAGCCCCTTGCCGGAATTAGTTCCTATGTCTGAGATTTTACCAAACACTGGTTTCTGGTGATGCCTTGTGCTGACGATAGTATGCAGTAACTGGATCGTGCAGAGGAGGGCGCTGTGGTATCACATTTCCCTGTGTGCTGTCAGTGAATTCCTGAATAGTCCCTGCAGGATTTATAAAGTAGGAAAGTTAGATGGTCCCTTCGCACTTCACTTTTTAAAATACTCCTGAGATTGGGAAGTGACAACTTCAGAATTTCTACTGTTGGAACTAGAAGTCTTTACCTGACTTGGTCCATTCTTGCCAGCCCCTGATACTTTCCTATTTGCGGTTCATTAATTTGGAAGAATGTGTTTCAGCCGCGGCATCAAAATTCTCCTCAAATTTAAGAAGACCCCATTTTTATGGATTTTTTTCCCCTAAAGCCAGTTTTACAATTGAGGGTTCATTTGATACGCATATTTTGTTACTGAAGGTATTCTCATCCACTTGGAACACTTAGAATGAAAGCTGCTTTTCTGCAGCATCCTGCACTGTGTATTTGCCTGGCCCTACTGGATATTGAGGTGATTCAAGAAATAGTTACTAAATCACAAAATACTATCACCAAATGATAATCAATTCTATACTTCTACAGATTACTCAGATTAACATTGCAATAGATCAATAACAAAACGAATTTTTAAAAATCAGGCTTACCTGTGAAAGCCGAGATACCCATACTAAGATTTTTTTTCAATTCAGTATTGGTTAAGTAACAATAGATTCGATATTGAAGCATGTGGTTTTCCCCTAGCCCCAGTACTAAGATCGCTCTGTTATCTACGTGTCCTACTATGTAAAATGTAGTTTGATGAGAAAGAAAGCACGAGATGAAGTATGAATTATCCATTGGCTCTAACAAACCCTTATAAAGAAAACTGTGTGCTGATTGGCCAGTGAGGGGCGAGAAACGCATGGTGTTTGTAACTAAAGCATTGTTTTCTCTAAGAAGCTTTCTGGAGCCTCTTGATCAGACTTGAAGTACTGTGCCCTCCTCGAAAAGAAACGATAGGATCTTAAGCGTCATCCTGGAAGGGAAGTAGGGAGCATCTGCCTCAGTCACTGATCAGCAATGGCTTTGACAGCAAGTAGCAGCGTCCTGGGAAATCTGGCTCAATCAGACGGGGCTGTGTTTTCCTGGCGCGTGAGTGGCAGCGGTGGCGGGGCTGTTGCTCATCGGGCTGAGGTCTCCCCAATGCCCAAGGCTGTCCTCCAGGTTGCAAGGTGACTGCTGGGACTCTCACTGGTAACGATGAATTCCAGGGAGCAGAGAAGAGGAAATGAGGAGAGGGGGAAGGGGCAATTCCAGGTCCGGATGGGAAAACTCCATATGCCCGTAGAGAGCCGCTCATCTCTCGTTGTTGGCAAACAGCCACTGTCTGCCTCTGCCAGGGAAGGCTGGAAAGCAGCTCTGCTCTGGGCACAATGCCGACCCTCGTGGAACTACTGTTCTGTTAACAAAGGAAGAAAAGAAGGACATCCTCTCCCCAAAGTGCTCTGTCGTAACCTCGGACACAGTTCGCATCTTATGACGAGGCAAGTGGGCCTAGCGAGGTTAAAGGACTTCACCCACGTCTCAGAGCCAGGGCTTCATGGACCGTAATGGATGCCCTCTTGTGTTCTATTGGGTTGTGCCTGGAATTTTATGTGGGGGTGGGGGTCTTGGAAGTTCTAAAGATTTTGCTTTTAACAAGAGCACTAAATAAAGAAGACGAAGAATCACAGATTATTGAAAGCTTAGCCCATGACGTCACCTCTAATAAGATCGTGATTGGATTTTCCTACAGCAATAATGCAAAGAAAAATAAAATCACAGTTCCTCACGCAAAAATGAAGTGGTACCCTAGCTGTCAAAGCATCGCCATTTCATTTGAGGTTCTATTTCTTCCAAGTTAATAATGGACTTGCTCTGGCTGGTGTGGCTTGGTTGGTTGGGCGGGGGCCCTGTACACCTAAAGGTTGCTGGTTTGATTCCTGGTCAGGGCTCAATCCCTTGTAGGGGGTGTGCAGGAGGCAGCAGATTGATGTTCGGCTCTCACATGGATGTTTCTCTCCCTTTCTCTCTCTCTCTAAAAAAATAAATAAATAAAAATATTTTTTAAGTTAACAATGGACACATTCCCTCATGTAACCCTTCATGTATGACTCTAACAATAGTTCCCCCACCACCACCCCCTGATGGAGTCAGCAGCCCTCAACTCCCTGCGCAGGGGGTGACTGGGGGGCAGCCATTGTACTCGTAGTGACTATGGAAAATCAAGACTGCTCTAAGAGGGCCACCGCTGGTTTTCTCACGTTGCCCAGATAACAAAAGTAGTGTTTTCTAGAAGACTTGTGAACCCATGTTGACTTCCTCTCACAGCCATTCAACTATTTTGTTGGATTTATACATTAAAAAATGCAACACTGTCTCAGGTTACATATTCATCCAAGAAGAAATCATATATTGCTACTAGTACTTGTAACCTAGTGCCGCAAAGAAGTGAGATGCAGAACCCTGGGAGGAAATTTTTTCTAAAATATTACAAGTATCCCATTCATGCTACGGGGCAAGGAAACTATAGGCTAGCAAAACAGAAATGACTTGATTTAGTTCATGTGGACACTAGGAAAATATCGTTTTCATTTTCATATTCATCCGAGTTACCTATAATGCCACCGGTTATGATTTCAAATCTTTCTAAACATGAAGACTAATTTGAACATGAGTGTCCTCTGGCAAGGCAAACATTTCATGTTTTCCCTCCAATCCTGATCTCTGTGCAGGGTGTAAATGGGGGCCAAAATGTCCTAGTTAGAAACTCAGTCTCATGCGATTTGTTTCTGATTGCAGTGGGAGAAACTACAGATGACCACAAGCGAAAGGAGGAAAATATTCTGCTCTGTCACATTCCACGTCATCGCCATCACCTGTGTGGTGTGGTCCTTGTATGTATTAATAGATCGGACAGCGGAGGAGATCAGGCAAGGCAATGACAATGGTAAGAGCACCTTCCTTTTCTTTCTCTCTCTCTTGGATTCTATGACAATACCCAGAGCTGGGTAGGAAAACCATTTCCCCAGTTTAAATCTTCATGTATGATACACTAGCAAAAACCAGTACTGGAAACTGAGTCTTCTCCAATTGTGCTCCGGCTCTAAAGCATTAGATGTCTGGGGTCCTAAGCGGAGAGGCGAGATAATGAAGTCCATGTAGACCTTGGTGGGGAGAAATACTTGTATGCCATCCACCACTCCAGACTTCACAGGAGCTGAATAAGGATCAGGTTCTTCCTCCTTTGCAAAGGCAAATAGTAGTAAAAATGGAAGGCCTTTTTATTTTATTTAGTTCACCCTAGTCATTGGTTCTTTTAGAACATGAATAAGATACTCTGGTAGAGAATGTTATAGCTTGTTACTTAATAGGGTGCAATGTGGTAGGATTAGCACTGTGGTTTGAAATTTTAAACATACTAGGTTTGACTGTCAAGTCTGCAAAGAAGGGTGTTTAAAAGTCATTAAGGCATATTCTAACATTTAATGTGCATCGGTGGTTTAAAACTGATTGTCTTCACTTCTGAAGGTACCACCTGTTTCTCACCGGGCTCTAAGTGTTACCATATAGCCTCAATCATAGCCAGTAAAATAGTGAGAAATAGTCCCCTAACCCGCTCTTCCTCGCGGGAGAAGGGGAAACACAAAATTAAACCCCTGGTGAATTTGAAAGGAGAAATTGTTCAGATGGTAACTGTATCTTTGCACGGTTATGGAATGTTTATTCATCTCCCTCAAAAAAGAAGGAACATGAAAGAAAGAAAAAGATGAGAGGAAGTGAGGAAAATAGTTTTAAAAGGAAAAGCTTTGTTACTTCTATATCTCTTCGGTTTCATAATAGCAGAAAGGAAAGATGTTGCGTTCTCACACTTGCCCTCATGGTGGCAGCAGTGCGCACCAACATGTGCTCTCCTGGCAGTCTAGAAGCAGAAGGGGACCTGGGCCAGTAAAAGGGACTGTGAGGCCTTGCCAGATGCCCTGGGATGTGGTTTATGTAGTTTAAGGGGGGTGAGGGGCCGAGGAGGGGTGAGGGGCAGAGGAGGGGTGGTGACGGAGTGACAGATCCCGCTGCTCTCTTCTGAAAGAGAATGAAAGTGCTGTGGTTAGAAACACAGGTAGGATGAGGTTTTGTTTTTTGGCTCAATCTTAAACTCATGTCTATACAATTCATATCAAACTACATTGTTTAAAACTACATTATGCATTGTTCCTGAGGTGCTGGATTTAAGCATGTCTATTAGGTCCTTATTAAATAATTTCTTAGAAGGTAGGGCCTTCAAAAAAAAAATCCATGTTCCCTATATTTACAGGTACTGGCCCAAGCCACGTCACAGAAAATGCTCCAGAAACATTGCCTTGTATGTGTATGGAAAAACAAAGAGACATTCCACCACCATCCCACCTTCCTATACCCGACATACGACCTCACGACTCCAGGGTTTTCCTAGCAATCTAGGGCAGACATGATAGCCAGAGATTTCATATCTGTAGATGTCTAACTCGGAGTTCGGTGTTTGGGAGTCATGAATTTGCCCAGTGTGGCCTTGCCCTCTCCCAGGGGTCACCCCGATTCGGTCCAGGTTCATGAGCCTGCAGGGCTCTTTCTGTCCTCCTCCAGCCACATGTGAGGGGAAAATTAAGGACACCTCCTTTTTTAAAAAAGAAAAAAACTGCATCATTTCAAAGTCAACATGTTTTCCATCCATCTTAGAAACCTTCAAAAATATTTGAAGAGGGATAAATTGTCCAGAATTGAGGTTATAAATCAGCAAAATCTTTTGAACTGTAATAGCAATCCTGAAGGGGGGGGGGGGGCCTACTGGGGAATGAACCTCCTGGCTCATAGCTCAACACTCAACCACTGAGCCACACCAGCTGGGCAAAACCTTCTTGTTCTAAACTGGTTGTTCTTTCAGATTAAATATGCATGGTGCCCCAGATAGCTCTCTCACCTCACTCTCTTTCTCTCTGTCACCTGTAGAGGGTAAAAAATAAAATAAAAATACATGGTGCTTGAAACTTTAATATCCTGAATTACTCATGTTGCCAACTCTAATGAGAGAACAGTTGCTCTTTGTACCTTATCTTCACATATTCTAGAAGAATCCTCCAGTATACTACTTATGCATTGAAAACAAAACACAGACCAAGAAAAAAACAACAACACAGTTTTAAAGACTGGAGGTACAGATTTTATTGTTGCCCAGAATTTTTTAAATGTATGCACCATAGAAGACGAGCATAACCAATTGATTTTTTTCCCCATGCCTAACTCACTGGTGAGCCTCTACGCATCCCCAGGGCAGGGGCCATGATTCGTTATTCAGAGAGCGCTTGGTATTAGTAGAGGCTCCAAAATCTTTGCTGGCTGCAGCTGAGTCCAGCAGATAAGAACTGTGGCTCTTAGCATCTGTTTAGCGTATGTGTTCAAGATCACTTCCCTGCAATCCATAAAATATTTTTTCAGCATTTGTGTTTAAATGATTCCTTTCTAAATTAATTACATGTGCTGCTGTTGTTAACAATCCAGATGTGATAAGCACTGACTTGGGCTGGTTGTCAGAGGCCAGGGTTCTAGTTTCGCCTTGGTCTCTGGCTAGTTATGGTGAACAAAACGATTAGTCACTCTGAAGCTCAGTGTCCTCATTTGTAAAACTAACCCTAACCTCCAAAGGTTCTTTTTGTGATTCATTTTTCAAAGACACCATGAACCTGGCCTTGCCTCAGATAAATGGAAACACTGTGTTTATACAATAAGGCACATATATCATGCCTGTTTACTCTCTCTGAGTATTACCCTTGAAACAAGGAAAAGGTTATAAATATGCAAAACTTCTCCTTTGTTCCTTCCTTTTTTTTACTTCTTTCTTTTTTAAAATAATATACCAGCTGGAGAGAAGCAACCAGCATAAAAGTGAAGAAAACCACCTCCCAGTCTTATCAGCCATACACACCATTATACAAACACATTTTGTAACTGTATATAACTTCAGCACCCAGCTGAAAGACCCCAAATTAACAATGGGGTGCTTTTTCTAACTATTGCATTGGTTCTGCGGCTGTGCAGTGAGACAGGTTCTCTTCTGCTGTTGGGGACTCAGAAAGGCTTTTCGGACACACCCCACGTGCCTGCAGTCACATGACCTGCTACGTAAGATAGGAGAATTGGAACTTAAAAGTTGGAAGAGACCTTAGAGGTCAGTTTTAAAGATGAGGAAATCAGTAATTTGCCTCCTCTGCAGCTATATCATAAGCATCCACCTGGGAGCTTGTGGTTTACCCAATGGGATTTATAAAGGAGTCTGAGAGGGGCCAGTGGGTACATCCCAGTTTTCAAGCCATTGTCATTATGGCCTGAAGGTTTCCTAGCAAACACAATACAGAGTTGCCACTTAAGTATTTCAGGACCTTTAGCTAACCTTTAGTGAGATTTCTGAGCTGTTCTCGTGAAGGGAATTAGAATTGCAAAGCATGACCAGGGGCACAGGTGAGGAGGTGTAGTGCTGACAAATGCTAGGGGCTTGGCTGGCAGCCAACAGGACTTTCTCCTTCCCAGGATTCCTGGTTTCGGTTGCCTGGCGTCCAGGTGGGACATCCAAAGATTGAAGCTCAATGCAGTAAAAATGTCTTAATATAGGCACAGTGAAAGTTTTGCTCTTAATCTACAACCCATTAAGCCAGCCAAAGATGGGCAGCATTTAAATCACTCGGCAACAAAAACAAATTTACATTCTTGTAGCAGTTTCTATGTGTCAAGAACTATTAATTCATTTAATCCACACTAAAACCCCATGAGGTAAAGACTAGTATTACCTCCATTTTTAAGGGATGCAGCCTTTATCTTTTGCTGTATAATAAACATATTAATGATTTTTGCATTGAAAACATGTTTAGATGACACTATTTTGGCCATATTGGGGTGGGGGGAGAGGAAAGTGGTGGTTCTCAGTAACAAAATAAAAATTTTATTAAATTTTGACTAAAGTGACTGCAATCCTAAATCTTATGCATGTCTGCACTTAGGAATTCTCCTTCTCTGGTGAGATGTGGTATCTTCTTTCTTTTCTCTCTCTCTCTCTCTCTCTCTCTCTCTCTCTTTCTTTTAATTTAAGGGAATGAGGGTGGAGAGACAGACTTGTAGGTACAATCTCACACATCTACCTATTACTTTACCTTGTTAAAAGGATTTTAAAGTCTGATTCTTTCACTATGTTCACTGTCCTCCTTAAAGATTTAGCTACAAGGAATAAATGTCAAAGTACATATCAAAAGTCTAATGTAGTATCTGATCACTTGATAATAGGTGGAAAAATATGAGAGATCATTACAGTGGTAGGAAAGAGAATTTCTTCACATACAATGTTAACATCTTTAGAATATTTGAAAGCAATTAAGCAATTCAGGTTATAATTCTTATCCACAAAATTTAACATTTATATAGCAATCTATTCCTTACCCACAATTATTTTTAAATGTTTTTATTTATTTCAAAGAGAGGAAGGAAGAGGGATAGAAACATCAACGATGAGAGAATCATTGATCGGCTGCCTCCTGCACGCCCCTTACTGGGGATGAAGCCAGCAAGCTGGGCATGTGCCCTGATGGGGAATCCAACCATTACCTCCTGGTTTATGGGTCCACGCTCAACCACTGAGCCACAGCAGGCAGGCATGGTCTTTTGAAGGGGTCATGGAGAAAGATTACCAAATACATTGATAACATTCTCTTTTTGCTTCAAGGTGTCCTAGAATGGCCATTCTGGACAAAACTGGTTGTGGTGGCCATCGGCTTCACAGGAGGTCTCGTCTTCATGTATGTACAGTGTAAAGCCTACGTCCAGTTGTGGCGCAGGTTGAAGGCCTACAACCGTGTAATCTTTGTGCAGAACTGCCCAGACACTGCCAAAAAGCAGGAGAAGAGCTTCTCGTGTAACGTAAACACGGACACCAAGGATGCGGTCGTGGTGCCTGTGTCACAAACGGGTCCAAATTCCCCGCCCTCCCTGCCCCCCGCAGAAGACAGCCCTCCGGAAGTGATGCCGGTGTGACTGATGCAACAGGTGGGAGTTCCTTCCAAGAAGATCTTTCTAACCCTCGGTCACAACAAATGACAGAGATGATCCTGAATTACTCACTTTCTGTATCTTCTCCCCTTTCTCTCACTGACTCGTTTCCCTTATTTGGCTTAGAAAGGAAAGGAGGAGAAGACACCAAATGACAAGACCCCATGAAACAGAGTCTGAAGTGATACGGAAACGTGACAAGTTTGCTGAAGAGTCGTCTCTGAAAGGATTAAAAGTCGCCGGAGCAAGGAATACTTTCAGGCAATGTTCATCATCAGACCAAATGGGCACACGAGTCTTCACAGTAGCAGGGGAGAGTTTAAGAACACAGACTTGAATTGCAATGTGTATTTCTTCTAAGGCCTCGTGATGTTAACTATCTCGTCTGGAAATAGCAAGCATAGTTGGTTTTAAGCTTGAAATTGTCCGCATTGCCCCTCAGGCACATCAGAAGCACACTCGGAGGATGCATCTTTGATATTCACACTTTGACGGAGAACAGAATTTGATGGTTAGTGCAGTCCAGTTGTTTTGACAGATGCATGATTTTAAAAGACACAGTATGTATTTGAAGATATTAACTTGGAATTTTATTTAAATGGTGAACAAAAGATTTTCAGAGATTTGGGGGAGGGGGGGCGATTATTTGGCTGTTAAATATCCACATAAGTTGAAACGAAGTCTCAGGTTCCATATTTTATCTGGACCCTCTAAAACAGTGTAGTGTAGCAGAAGTGTAATGTTGAGCTACAAGTGCAGGCTACCTATGTAAATTTAAATTTTTCTAGCAGCCCCATTGGAAGCTTTTAAAAGAAAATAAGTGGAATTAATTTTGAGAATGTCTTTTATTTGACCCTATGTATTCAAGTCATTTCAACATGTTATCAATATTAAAAATTATTGACTCTGGCTGGGTAGCTCAGCTGGTTAGAGCATGGTCCCACAGGTTTGATCCCTGGTCAGGGCACATACAACAATCAACCAATGAATGCATAAATAATTGAACAACAAATCGATGTTTCTCTCCCTAATCTCAATAAAAAATTGAGGTAGTTTACATCTCTTTTTATGAACCAAGTCTTTGAAATTCAGTTTGTACTTTATCCTTATAGCACATCTCAATTTGAATTAACTATATTGGCTTAGCACAGCCCTAAACTTGGAGACAGAGCCTCTGATTCATTCAACAGTTGAATACTTCAAAACAGCAGCTTAATTCACTCTTTCACTCAAAGTCTCATAAATGTTATAATTTTACAAAGCACTAAATTAATCAAATTAAATAGGCTGGTTGAAAAGTTAGACGAAGTCACTAAAGGATGAAAAAACGAAAGTAGAGAAAGATACAGCCATCTGCCCGGGGCAAGATTCTGAAAGAAACTTGTCTGCTATGATGAAGCACTTCTGAAGGGGAAAATAACAATTAAATATTTTGTTATTAAGTCAAATGTGTAAGGCTTTTTAAAAAAAAAAAATCCATACAATGTGTCAACTTGACAGATGAATAGTTAAGCATTTCAACTCTATTTTTAAAAGCTGACAGTATTTCCCTTGCTCAGCTGGGAAGCAAAAACATTCAACAGATTCTGTGATAAGTAATAAATTGAGTTGTTTAGGTTTGACAGTTCAGTTGATTATTGTGTTCTTTGCATATTCATGTAAAACTGGTGTGAATGATGTTGCAGTGAGCTAGACTAATGATTATAGATATAGTGGCCTGTCAAAAAAGATGTCTTACATTTTAAAGAGGTGATTTATTTTTGTTAGCTGTCATATTTATTATTGTGAAAAGGCAACCGTGGTGGCCATAAGAACCAAAGCATGGGTATCGCATTGCACAAATCCGGGTATCACATTGACGCACTTTGTAATTATCCGTGTGCTTGTTCTTCACTGATTATCATAGGAAAAAGGGGAAAGAAATAACCTTTTAATGAGAAAGATGACTATTAGTAGTGGCTGACACTGAGTCCAACAGTCCCGATTCCTAGAAATAAAGGGAAACAATGTCTATCCTGTGTGTGTGTGTGTATCCATGTACATACATGAGAAAAATATTCTCATTCAGGCAGGAAACAAAAGGTTTGAAACTCATCTTTCTTAAAACGTATTGTAGGGATGTGGAATAAAGGCAATGAGAAAACAAAGTTGGGGTAATTAACCTGAACCAAAATTTCTGTACAAATAAGGACATAAACGGTGTACTAGTAATAAAAAATAAGGACCTTAAACAAACTAAACTCCATGCCCCCCTCCACCCAAGGGATTAACCTTGATTCAACTGAACTGTTAATTTCCCTAAGCTTTTTACTAATCCATGTTTCCTATGGTTTAGAGATGGCAACATGCTGTTTATAAATATTCCTGGGTGGAAAAATCTAGCCACCAACAAACAAAGAAATGATTTCTCTTTTGTTTGCTCTGGAAAGAAAAGGATTGTTAGCACCACAAATACTGTTTATATACTGTGCAGACCTAGGCAAAATAGATCAGTGCATAGCTCATTTCACAGTGGCAGGTGACTGGCTAAAATAAGGCCTCGTGTATTAAGGGCTTCCCTCAACACTAAGAACACATTTCTGGGATGAAAAGTAAAGGTGAGCATTACTGTATAAATGACAAAAGATGAAAGGGTATTATCTTAAAACCATACCTAAATTCTCAACATGAACTTGTACAGGCTTTGACTTTTTTTGAAATGAGAAAATAATAGAGCTCCCTAGCAGGTTAAAAGTCAGTATTTTATTCTGCTATTCTTCTGACCGTTTTGAACCCTGAACTCCTGAATTTAAATCTTTTTAAAACTTTTTCTGCAATGGCTGTTTATGGTTCAATCTAAATAACTATGTGGACTTGAAACCTAATGTGGATTATTTTCTTCTTATGTTCTGTGTGGCAATGGTAAGAAAATAGAGCTCCCTAGCAGGTTAAAAGTCAGTATTTTATTCTGCTATTCTTCTGACCGTTTTGAACCCTGAACTCCTGAATTTAAATCTTTTTAAAACTTTTTCTGCAATGGCTGTTTATGGTTCAATCTAAATAACTATGTGGACTTGAAACCTAATGTGGATTATTTTCTTCTTATGTTCTGTGTGGCAATGGTGCATTTGCCCTTTCGAAGGATTTGGCTTTGTAACAGGAACTATGTGGACTGGACATACCCTTCAAAGAGAAGAGCTGCTCTCCAGGATGACGATTTTTCCAAAGCACGTTTCCCCATTCATGGAAGAAATAAAATGGAATTGAAACAAAGGACTGACATTGACGAATGAGCTGACAGTTCTGTTCAGAACTTTGGATTCTTATAATCATGAATCTGTGGTATTATCCATCCCATACATCACATAGCTTTATGCTGTTAATTTTTTTTAAAGAACTGCCACTTTTATTATATAGGATCAAAGATTAAATTATAAAGAATTAAGATTCAAGTATCTTTTTAAAAGTGAAGTGCAAAGGGCCATGAAGCTTAAGTATAAACACAAACCAAAATAGAAAAGAAAAACAAAAACAGAAATGATCCCATCAACCTGAGTGAGCAATGGAGAACTGAAAGAAGATAGGTATATATACTGAATGCCCCAGGATTAAATCTTCACTCTGAGCTGCTGGTACATGTGATTCTAGTCCCAGAGAGATGGCCCCATAGTTACATTTATCTTGTGCAAAAGGTCCTTGGGTCCTCCTCAAACAGCGAGTCTTTGGTTGGGAAATTAGCTCATCAGTGCAGTGACATTATTATCATTGTCACTAGGGTGAGATGGGGAAGACTGATACAGTTTACCTAGCCTTGCCTTGCCAATGAACATTTTGGAACAAAGTGGAGCTATTAAAACTCATTATCATCATTATTGTAGTTGTTATGTAATAATGGTGTAGGACTCACACTTTAAGAAAGATGAAAACCTTTTTTCTTTCCTTAAATCAGCCCAAAGGTGCTATTTTACATATCAATACAGTTGAAAGGACATCCTGTTATTTTGGGCTGTTTCCTCATATCTGACGAAAGCCCACTTTGAGATTGGATTTTGCATTAAAACAAACAAGAAACAATTATTTTGACTGTGTGCAATTTTTGAGGTTGAGCATTTGTACTTTTTTGGTTTTACCTAATTCTCTTGCATTAACACTTTACTGTTTTGTGAATAATGTGTATTAAGACAAATTAAGGAAAAGAATATAATTATCTGTGAAAGACTTTGTATATTAAACAAGTGACTCGTACCTTTTTTGTGGTTTCCATAGTTTTTTTTTTAACTTACCAGAATTTCTGCTGATTTGTATCTGCAACATTCAAATGAGGGAGTTATTCAGATTTTTCAATGGTCTGGGTTTTTAATCTGAGTGTGAACATATTTAAAATTATTTTAAGGCCAACATAGACTGACTAACCCATGACATTGTAGAGTCTGATAAACATGCACTAACGGGGGAAAACAACAGAAATAATTATACAAACTTTCAAACCCTGCTTTAAAGATGACAACACAGGCAGAGAAAACAGCAAGTGCCCACGTCCTGACTGGGAAATGTCAAGCAAGGTTCAGCCAGTAAAGAAACCACAAGCCCTTGTTAGTGTCAGGCAGTTCATTACCTAGATAGCAAAAGAAACCCGAGCTATGGAGCCAGCTGTCTGAGTCTTGCCCCAAGGAAAGGCACAAAAAGAAAAGGGCCAGATGACAGGATGATGGAATGTATGGGCTGGGGCCCACTGTTACTGAGATGCTGATTCCACATGCAGCTGAGCAATGTTATGGCCTGCAGCTACACCCTGAAGAGATGACAGGTGGAAACACTGCTACCTCATCACAACCCAGGAGGCAATGACAAACTGGGCCACAGGTCATCCCTGTAAGATAGGGAGGCAAAGGTGAAGGGGCCGATGACAGTTTCTCACAAGCATCTCATATCGTGTTCCAGGAAGATCACAGGGCATTCTTCTAAAGCTCAGGTTGGCTGTGATCAAACCTGGCCTAAGTGGCCACACTCATGGTCATCAGGATGCCAGCACAGAGCTGTCCCACTGTAGGAAACAGCTTGGGTATTTTAGGAATGGACAGAAGGCCAGTGTGTCTGAAGGGCTAGTGGAAACAAGCTGAGGTTGGAGAGGCAGTCAGGAATCATTGCAGGACTCTTTGGCTGCGCTCCGAACCTGAATTTCATTCAAAATGTGATGGATGTCATTGTAGGCTTGTCAATTATTACAGGTGTACCATTCTGGTGGGGGATGTCGATAATGGGGGAGGCTACACGTGTGTGAGGGCAGGGGCTATACGGAAGATCTCTTTTACCTTTCCATTTTGATGTAAACCTGAAACTGCTCTATAAAAGTAAAGTCTTTTTAAAAAGTGGTTAGAAACAAAATCATACATCAAAGAAACAAACACACGATTAAAAATGTGATGGAATGATACTGCGACAACATTCAACAAATGAGCAGCATATCTTAGTGTACATTCTTAAAATGCGCAGCTCTGGAGAATGGGTTAAGTGGAGCAAGAATGGTGACATGAAGGCGCCAGGAAGCCACTGCACACAGTACAGCCAAAGGCATGGTGGCTCAGGGGAGGGTGACCAGCGGAGATCGCCTGACATGGGCTGATTTAACATTCTTTTTGGAACTAAGAAACCAGAAATACCCACTAATTACATTAGACTGGGGGAGGGCAGGGAAGAAAGAGAAGAATCAATGATGATTTATATCCTTTTTTTTTTTTTTGGCTTGAGAAATGAGGTGAAAAACTTGGGGAGAATCAAGGTTCCTGAGAAGGCAATAGGGAGTGGGATCCAGAACAGGAGTGGAAGGATTGGCCTTTGAAAGGAGAAAAGCTACTATACCCATTAAATCGAAAGAAAATAAGTTTATGTTTTCTCAATTATGTATAAAAAGTTAACAGCTGAACACTGGGGAAGGTAGTATTAAAGTCAAACTAGGAAGCATGAAAGAGCAGTAAAAAGAAATTACCTCAGAGTTGAAAAATGAGCTTCTTAGGGGAAACCCAGTAGAATTGCTAAACAGTGTTGAGAATCCACTTGAGATTTGGAAACAAAAATGGGAAAATGGTCTGTCTGATAGTCTCCAGCAAGGCTGAGCTGCCTGGGAGCAGGTAGAAGGGGACAGTTAAGTGAGCCTTACTTGGTTTGGGTGTTGAAAGAGGAACACTGTGCAGTCAGGCAGGAATTGAGAGCACATGCAAGGAAGCCACTAGGAACTTCAGCAATGGAGAGGGATGGGAGACAGAGAATGGAGAAGGAGATGCTCAAAGTCAAGTTTATAGAAACTTCAGGTGCTAAGGATCTGGGTGGGTGTGACCACCTAAAGGCCTCTGAAGGGAGAGAGAAAAAGACTGAGAAACTTCAAGAACACAGTGTGAGATCTGCTATTCACAAGGCTACTGGGATCACTAAAATTATTGAAATAGGAGAGAAGAAAACTGAGCCAAGAGCTAAAATCTTCAAGGAATGAACAGAAGGTCCTTCTGGGAGGTAAGACAATAAGGAAAGGGGGAAAAAATAACAGAACTGCAAGGAACTAAGGGAGAAATTACCTGAACGTGGCAGTAGAGCAAAGAGGACACCTATCCAACCTCTGCCCCTGAAGTACAAGGGATATGAGTAGAAAAAGCTTGTATTTGAGGCTAGAAAACTAGAAAAACACTTCAGTTGGTAAGGCAAGGAAGTGACTAGGATATTAGGAAAAGAGACCACGGATGTCAGAGTTAGTTGCTCTGAGCTTAGAAGTGTATCACTGGCCTATGTCCATGGAAGTTCAGCTCACTGATTTAGAGCAGCAGTTGGCAAACTATGGCAAGCAGGCCAAATCCATCCTGCAGCCTATTTGTGAACGGCATTGAACTAAGAATGGTTTTTACATTTTTAAAGGGTGGCAAAACACACACACACACACACACACACAATTATACAACAGAAAGCACACCTGGCCTGTAATACCTAAAATATTTACTATCTGGTTCTTACAAAAAAAAAAAAAAACTTTGATAGGCCCTAGTTTATACAGAAGTGCTAACAAAGTGAGTTACTCTGTCTCTGTTCCATGGCCATGGACTACAGAAGCCATCATACAAAGACAGACTACGGATCTAAAAGGAGTCTAGATAAGGGAGCACAAGTTATTACTGCAGAAAGAACATGTTCCACAGATAAAGATTAAGTATATCACTTAAAAGCATTACTCCAAAGACAAAGTATGTCTTAGGCTACTTTGGTCCAGCAAGAAGTGACATGGCAAGTGTGGTTCTAGATGATAAAGTCAATCATTCAACAAATATTTATCTGTTCTAGTTCCAAGCACTGTGTCTTGTTACATTTTTTTTGCTTTGGTATCATAGGGAAAACTAGAAACAAATGTTTGAGGGGAAGAATAATATGTCACTTTCACAAGTTACTCACCTGACAGCATGGCTTTTTAAATATCAGACCACATAACACACTTACTATTCTCTTTACTATAATTTATGACTCAGTTTTCATAGCTGTTTGAGACTAAATATAAATCCTCCAAACAAGGAAATTTTCTAATGATTAGAGATAGAGACCTTCTTATGTAACCATAACCCATACTTTCACACAGATCACTAAAGCAAAGGCAAGTCAGCAGCAGTTACATCACTGCAAATGAAATAATTAGAAGTGAAATTATAAAAATAAATTTTATTTTTAATTTTCAAAAGTAAAAAATCCATAACATTTTTAATAAACTGTTAATATAATTTAGTTGATACCTAGTTAACCTCATATAGCATTAATGTTTTATTCCTTTTTCTTGAAAAGACTCCAATATACTTGCATTTCACCCTTCAGAAATAGACTAAAGGATACTTGCATGCAAGTTCTGCGAAGAACAACCTACTACCTCCATAATATTCATGACACTTGAAATACTGAGTTATACTAGTTGTCTTTTAACCTACCTCTTAGAAGAAAAAATAACACAACTGAAAAAATTGGTTCTCTAATCTTTAGGTTTCCACAAATAAAATCTATCACTTTTCACAATGAGAAAGTAGAAAATATGCAAACAAAAAGAGCTAACCTGAAATCATCTATTCCCTTTATCAAAAGATAGCAGATTATGTGTGAGAGATCAACCTAAGAATAGTCACTGCATTTTTTTTTCCTTACCATTTAGCTCTGGCTCAAAGATAATAAATAAAAATAATGTATAATCCATCAGTGTATAGGCATTCCATGTTATATTTAGATTTAATGTTTAAGAGGAACATTAGTAAAAGGCAATTTTGCTATCATCACTGCTGAAGACGTACCCACAGGACCCTTTTAGAAAACAGGTTGCTGTCATTGCCCCCAAATGTGAGATTAGGTGATCCTAAGTAAACATGAGGAAAAGAACTAAAACATTTTTTGTCCTTATTCATAATGCTCCTTCCTGCCCCAGATAGTAAGATAAAATCGATCTTAAAGGTCACTATTTTATTTTATGTCACTGTATCTATTTTAGCAATTTAATGTAAATAAAAAGCAACATTCATTTTTAAATAAAAATCAAAACATTGTTTTTTAAGCTGCAAATGGTATTCTCATCTTGTAAGATGAGCTAAATAGCAAATTCTTGTATCTACACAATTCTTTAACATAATCAATTCAAATGCAACTTGAGATTCTCAAATTACCTATTTTCAACTCAAGTAAAGAACAATTAGGCCACTGCAGTCATTTCCTCATCTGAGTCACTTGATTCCTCATGTAGCTGTAGCTCCCCTAAATCTTTGTCCACAGGTGTAGTAGTTTTCTTCTTGTGTTTCTTGGGAACTGCATCGTTAGCACACATTTTTCTCATTTTAATGTTTGGCAATTTCTTCAGATCAAAATCCCATTCCCTACGCAAAAGAAAGAGTATACATGGTTGGCAGGCTGTGAGGTGGGAAGCAAGAAAAAGTCAATATTCAAAACTCTGAAAGGAGCAGAACAAAATTTGTAAATTTACAGCAGATTCAAATGCACTAGAGAGAAACAATATAAATGCATTAGAGAGAATCCCATATATTCAAAACTCCCAAAGCAATACAGGAAAATGTTACACAAAAATTACAAGGAGGCTCTGTTCCATTCTTTTACTCTCTCTAACCAGAACACTTCGGTCAATAGGGCTCTATGGTATCAAGAATCTCACAAGTAGGAACTGTATCATACCTGGCAACTCTCCAAAATACAGAGTCAGAAAAGATTTTTTCACACACAGTGGTAAGTCACAGATAAATTTCAGTCATCAAACAACTTGTATGGTTATAATAGAAAACTGAGTATTTCAATCTCAGCATTTACTGTGACAATCTTACATTTTATTTACTTGAGGGGCAATGTGAAGACTGTTTTGAGAACTGAACTCCAGCAATACTAAAAATAGTCTATGCTAAATTCTTCTCTTTTCTGGCTTTCTTTCGGAGAGGCAGAACATACTTGTTTTAGAAATAAAGAGCACATTTATATATCTAACTGATTAATATTACAGGCAAAAAAAGTAATGAAGGTATAAAAAGAATCTTAAACTCTATGTATCTAGAATATAAATACACTAGAGGCCTGTTGCATGAAGAGATTCATGCAATAGGCCTTCCTTTCCCCTGGCTGCTGGCACCGGTTTGCCTCCAGCACCCGGGGCCCAGGCCTTCACTTTGGCTGAGTTCTGGCCGGAGCCGGCCCCGGAAACGTCAGGCTTCGCTGCTCCGCCGGCCCCGGGGCCGTGAGGCCTCGCTGCTCCAGCTGCCCCAGAAACGTCAGGCCTTGCTGCTCCACTGGCCCTGGGCCGTCAGGCTTCGCTCCACCGCTTGGAGCCTACGCATGCAAATTAACCGCCATCTTGGTTGGCGGTTAATTTGCATATCATGCTGATTAGCCAATGGGAGGTGTAGCGAAGGTACGGTCAATTACCATGTTTGTCTATTATTAGATAGGATATACATGAGCTAAAAAGTAAAGTACTTCTTAAATATGATCGGTGAACTTTATTAGAGCCAATATTTTGTAAGTACTAAATACCCAGTATTTTTCTATGAATTCAAAAGTATAAAACTATAAAATGAGCTTAAAGGTATCAAAGAATACGACTGGACTTAATTTATCTAATCTCAATTAACATAAATTTGAGACCCATCAACATAATCTAATATCAAAAAGGTTAATAGGAATCATTTTTTCAAGACAAAGAAGCCAAGTTGGAAAAAACTGAAATCCTACTCAGAGTGCTGTTAGAGACCACGGACCACCTGGTTCAGGAGACTCAGCCTTCCCGTGTTATCACTTTCCATTAACCAACTTCTCCAACAGAGGATCCTGCAAACAGTGTGGGATGTAACTCTGAGCCATCACATCAGTTGCTTTTATTTCTTTTTTTTTTTAAATAAGAATTGGTGAGGAATAGTGAGATCAGGTTCTTTTAAGTACTACAGTAAAGCATTTTAAAATGTTTTGAAAAGGAAATAAAAGTCTCATGTCACTAGCATTTCAGTGTATATCTGGTGTTTCAAATAAACACAACTTGGAAAATTCTACTTTGTCTGATAAAAGAGAAAAGGTTAAAAAAAAAACAACCTGACTTTCTGTCAGCTCTGATGTCTACACTGAAAAGAAGAAATTTTATGTCTCATGTATCTGACATGCTGTTCAGGGAACAATAAAAGTGACAAACTCACCTAAAAGTTTTCAGATTACCTGCATTTAGAATATCTGGAATCTCTGGGAAAGAAAATAATTTATATCCATTAGGTAATGTTTTCTAAATTACAACATTTTATAGTTTCCTCATTTATTATATCAGATGCAATAAATAATAATTGACAGACAACAAGATCATCTAAAGCAAAACAAAATTCCAAAGCATTGTTATAATGCTACATGAAAGTAAGTTTTGCAAAAATAAAAGGCTTAGCTTAAGGTGATTTAAGAATGCTATTAAATAATAAATTCTAGCATCGAATCTGTAAAAGAAAACAAATCTACAGTAATCCTCCCTTATCTGCAATTTCACTTTCCAAAGTTTCAGTCACCTGAGGTTAACTGCAATTTAAAGTTATGAAATGGAAAATTCCAGAAATAAAACAATTCCTAAGTTTTTAATTGTGAGCCATTCTGAGCAGCTTGATGACATCTCACAATGCCCCCCTCTGTGCCGACTGGGACGTGAACCACCCCTTTGTTCAGTGTCTCAACCAACCTGCTGTCGGCCACTTAGTAGTCGTCTTGGTTATCAGATCTACTGTTGTGGTATCTCAGTGCTTGTGTTCCCTTATTTTACTTAATAATGGCCTCAAAGCGCAAGTAGTGATGCTGGAAATTCGGAAATGCCAAAGAGAAGCCATAAGGGCTTCCTTTAGATGAAAAGGTGAGTACTGTACGTCTAGCAGATTATGCTGCCAGACCATCTGATTTTTTAAGGCAAGCCAGAAATCTATATTTTTCATGAGAAATCACCAGGTTTTTTTTAATACTAAGAATTAATAAGCCAATCAATACCATTTGCAGGCTATATGCAGGCTTTGGGTTGTTATCTGTCTGTGGCAGTGGTCGGCAAACTCATTAGTCAACAGAGCCAAATATCAACAGTACAAAGATTGAAATTTCTTTTGAGAGCCAAATTTTTTAAACTTAAACTATATAGGTAGGTACATTGTTATTAACTTAATTAGGGTACTCCTAAGGCTTAGGAAGAGCCACACTCAAGGGGCCAAAGAGCCGCATGTGGCTTGCGAGCCGCAGTTTGCCGACCACGGGTCTGTGGGCTTTGTAAGCCTTAAGTACCTTCTCCTTTTAAGTGCTTTTCTTCAGACAGTGTTGGTAAACTAATGACATACTTGTCCTTAGGAATGGTAAGAAGTGCTATCATGCCCAGAATGAATATTGGATTTCTGTATTTCTCAAGAATGACAGCAACAACCACTGCTTGGTTCTACAAGAATTACAAAGACGACAAGGACACAGTACCACCTTCTAAAGAAACTTAGATGTAGTTGGAGATGGGCAGGTAGTAACTCTATAACAAAGCAAACAGGTATGTGCCAGAGGCAAGGAAAAACTTTACTTTCACAGTAGAAAGAAATGATGTCACTATCACAATGGACAGTTTTGGGGAGTGTAGAAAAAAAAAGAATGAATTAAAAATGATTCCATATACTCACAAAAGAAAGGAAATCAAAGGAAGAAAATCAAACTAAATAGAATAATAAACCTTTGAAGTGCACTACAAATCTGATATTGCTATGTATGTTAGAAAGAAAAAGGAGCATGGCAGTGAACACACCGAGGCCATAGCCTTCATACTGCTGTCGCTCCCGCTCCATCGTCTGTTTGATGACTGTCTCCCGGGAACAGTGCCGCCTTCCCTGCCTGTCTTTGATGCTGTTATGTAATTCAATCTGCTCCAGCTCACTGCTGAATCGATTTAAGTACCTGAAAAATAAGAAAATGATCCGAGTTACAAAGTCTGCATTTTGGCTTATGCTATTTCATTGAAAACATAATTCCCAGCCTTTGCCTGTCTAAATCTTTATATTCCTCTGAGTTCAAGTCCTTAGACCTCAGACCTTCCCTGGATAACTCAACCATTCTCAATATTTTTGCAACCAAATCACCGCCTGCTATTAAAGTATCTATTAAACTTCAGATGCTCATTTTCAACCACGTCCTGAACATCTTTATTTGAAAGTCCTGTAGAGGCTTAACACATCAAAACTGAACTTGTCCTCCTCCCTGACCCCACCCATCCCCACCAAGCCTACTCCATCTCTTTGGCTCCCTATCTCAAGAAACAGTACGACCATTCATCCGACTGCCCAAATAAGGAATAAAAGTGTCCTCCTTCATTCCTTTCCCCCTTTTATGCCACATCTGTTTTCACTAAAGATTGAGACTTCTCCCTTTTTTATATCTCTGGAAACCTTCTCTTCCCTTCGCTTCACCACACTGCTACTAAGCAAGAGACTACCACCATCTCTTGCCTGGAGTATTTGTTTCATCAGCCTCTCAACGGTTTCCTGGCTAATGCCAGGTCTCTCAGGCCATTGTCCTCATTCTCACTACTGTGACCTTTCTAAAGTTTAAACATGATCGATCATCACCAGAGCTTGCTGTAAAAGCCTCCCATGGTTCTGAAATGTCCTTTGATAAAGTCCAAACTCTTATAATGATATCTGAGGTCTTTCACGAGTTGGTTGTCACTTATCATACCTGTCACAATTACCTCCTTGAACCTGTTATTTCAGTCATATCAGATGTCTGCCAGATCTCTATATATGGCACTCTCACCTGTAGGCCTTTTAGATATTCGTCTCTGCTAGAGGCTCTTCAATCTGCCCTCAGATTGAAGTGCCTCTGACCCCTACCCTTCAGCTGTCGCTTCAGATGATATATCCCCAAGAAGCCTTTACTGACCCCAAGAAATTGGATTAACTACCACTGTGAGGTACAGAACAGTTACAGCCTGCTAAAGTGAAGAGGCTAGGATATAAATCCAAAGGCTCTTTGATTATAAAGCCCATTTGCTCTTCTATAAATCCAGAACACAACTGTCTCTTGAAGAACCAGAGTGAAAAATTCCTTTTTCTGACCCTTTTCTCATAACATGCCCAGTGTTTACCTTTCAATTAATTCACAAGCATCTTTCTTTGAATACCCTCCTTTTTTGGGATCCAGATGATTTTGAAACCACTGCAGTTTTTCACCTATAACAAAAAGTACCAAGATAAACACCATGGTCATCATTTAAGTAAAGAAATATTCGTTTTAATTTTCAACATCAACGTGTTTATAACAGTATCAAATTTTGTTTCCACACTAAATATAAAACCTTGTGTGGGCTCAAAGCTAATTAAACCAGTCGTAAGAAATTAAATTGTCACATTTTAATTTGGGGAAGAAACAGGAGCGAGAGGGATGCTTCTCTGTATATATTTCTTATCCAATAAGGATGCAAAAAAATTTTTTAACAAGAATACTTTAACAGAACATGAAGTTCTAAGTATTTAAAAAGCAAAGGGTAGAACTTGTCTCAAATAAAATGAAAACATTAGATTAATAATGAAAATGGTATCTGCAGAACATTTTATAAGCAGCAAGCACTAAGTCAAGAGCTTCATAATCCTATAATTAGTACTATTATTATTCCCACTTACAAATGAGAATGGTTAAGTAACGTGTTCAAGGCCTCAAAATTAGTAAATACATTAAGTGTACAAGATCTGCCAGATACAAAGAGCTAATGGACCTCATTCTTATGAGTAAATCAGACCGTCCAGGTCACTTGCACAGTGATTTCTCAAAATTAGAGATGAAGAAATGGTCTACCCCAGAGACTGATAACCCACTTAGAAATACTACTCCATTACCTTATGAAGTGTTCGGTAAGGGTTGAAATACCTTTAATTTTAGTAATAAAGCCTAATAGTCACTATTTTGAAATTTCAGGCTTATCAGTAAAAATTTACTAACAGTAAATTTGACACCTCTCACCCCCAAAAAGAGATTATGATACTGAGATATAAACTGAATATTTGGAAACATTACATATGCTGTTTCCAAAATACTTAGGCCATAATTCTAATGATTAAGGAGCTAGAATTAAACTTCAGCCATAGATAGATAGATAGATAGACAGACAGACAAAAGCAAATAGGTAGACAGGTACATAGGTAGGTGATTATAAACCGAACAATTTTTGAAAAACAAAGTTAGATATTATTAACAACTAGAGGCCTGATGCACGAAATTCGTGCAAGGGGCTCAGCCTGCGCCGCTGCGGCTTCTTCTGGAAGGTCGTCCAGAAGGACTTCCGGTCTAATTTAGCATATTACATTTTTATTATTATAGATGTTCTAAGAGTTTAACAATTGATTTTATTTTGTACTGTTTTAATCAAGCCTGGTAAAGAAAATTCACATAGATAAAAATAGTATTTCACTAGGAAAGTCAAAAGAAAAATAGGTATAGGGCAGAATTTCACTATACTCTAGCAAAAATGTCAAATAAGTAAGTCCACTTACCAATAAGATTGAGCCGCAATGCCTTTTCATTCTTCAACCTTGGAAGAAAAGGTGCATAAGTATGTTAGAGAATTTTCAAAGCACGCTTTTAAAATCTGTCAAAACAACAAAAAGAAAAACTGCCTAAAGAACCTTAATTCAAAGATCATTCTTTCATACACATGAAATTAATTTTGTTAATAAGGAAGCACTGAACATCATGCTTTTTTTTAAATCACTGGAATGAAATGTTATTAGAAAAATTTTCTTAGCTCTTCAATGACTAAAGGATATGTATAAAACAATAAGTTTTATACATTAGAGATGAGAGCTTGACTAGATTATGAATGTTGAGGTGGGTTTTGTAGAATATTGTGCACAAAAGAGTGATGATGTAATTAATACCTTCTAGAAGACTGAGTTCTGCCACCAAAACCAAAATACATTACTGTCACTTTTAAACTTCAACAAGAACAAAACAGAATGTTTACTGTTCATACATTTGAAAAAAATTATAACAAAGAACTCATTTATTCTCAGAAAACAGTTTAGACAGTATGTATCTCCTTTTGTTTATATTCTAAATACTAAGTCACCCAGAAGAGAGCTTTGTATAACTAGTGTTTGCCATCCACTAAGAATACTGTCCCTGTCCTAACAAAGCTGACCAGATTTACTCTCCTACTTTAAACAACTGGAAAAGTGGATAATAAAATAAAACCTCTTTTATAAAAAAAATTTTAAACATAGAATGGGAGAAAATATTCACAAGATAAATAATTAACAAAGGATTTGCATTCAGAATATACAAACAGTTCTTCCTACTTAATGAGACAACCCAATACTAAAAAAAGCACAAAAGATTTCAACAGATTTTTTTTCATCAAATCAAAGGTATACAAATGACCAATAAACTCATAAGATACTTAACATTGCTAACCATCAAAATTACTAAGTGTGCAAATTAAACCACACTGAAATACTACTTATACTGAATAAATTTTTTAAAAAACTGATAATACAATATTTTTGAGAGGATATGGAGCAAATGTAACACACACACTGGTGATTAAAATCTAAAGTGGTACGATCATTTTGGATAAGACAATTTCTTACATACTTAAACATTACACCTATCATATGACCAACAATTCTTATAAACTTAATTTCTTATATTCTTAAACATACATCAATTCCAATTCTAGGAACTAAAAGAAAAATGAAAATATATGTCCACATGAATGTTAATGGCAGCTTTATTTATGATAGTAGGGGCTGGCAAATATTTTTTTAAGTGGCCAGATAGTAAGATGTTAGGCTCTGCGGACCATGTGGCAACTACTTGCCTCCACCATTGTAGCCTAAAAGCAGAAACAGACAATGCAAGAGGAATGCGCATAGCTACTTTCCACTAAAACTTTTTTATATAAAAACCAGTGTTGGGCCCTTATTTTGCAGACCCTGATGACAGCCAAAAACTTTCAACAATCCAAATGACCATCAACTGGTGAATGGATAAACAAACTGCATAGCCATACAATGGAATACTATTCAGTAATAAAAGAGAAAGACAACTAATATGTGAAATAAAATGGATAAATTTCACAAACATTATGCTAAGTGAAAAAAGCTGGCACACAATATTACCTACAATATGATTCCATTTATATGAAACATTAAGAAAGACAAATCTCATCTATCAAAATAAAGAGAAAATCAGTGGTTGCCTGAGGCTGGAGTGAAGATTGACCGGGAAGAAGAATAGGGAATCTTTTGGGAAGATGAAAAAACACTATACACTGACCATGGGATTACACCAGTTCATTATCAAAACCCCAGACCGGTACACTTAAAATATGTCTGTTTTATTGTATGTTATTTATACCTCAAAGTTGACTTTAAAAAAAAAAAAGATGCTTCAAAACTGGGTAGAGAATGGCTTTGAGAAGAATTCATTCCTTTTAAATAAGCCTGGAGGGAAGAATCTAGTGAGTGGTCAGGCTGAATGAACTCAATGACGGCCTGAACCTGAAGAGAATGAGTTGGGATAAAGAAAAGTAGAGAGATATGAGATTCTCAAAAGTAGTTGTTTCCTAGATTCTTACCCATTATACTTAATTTCCCTTTGTTACCCTTTCATACTAAGTCATTTTCATTTAGTGTCTAGAATTCCTTACTACATACCCTGTGGGACAAGACATGACAGTACATAATGAAATGTTGCTATGCTGGGAAAACCTATCTAATAATAGACAAACATGGTAATTGACCATACCTTCACTATGCCTCCCATTGGCTAATCAGTGTGATATGCAAATTAACTACCAACAAAGATGGCGACTAATTTGCATACTGCAGGCAGGGCGGGACAGCATGAGCCGCCAGCGGGAGCCGCCATCCAGGCCCCGTGTGCAACCCCAGAAGCCGCCTGCCTGCCACCCGGGACCGGATCCAGTCCAGGCCGCTGGCCGGCCCCAGAAGCCCCAGAAACCACCTGATATGGCAATAACTCTATCAGTAAGCACTCTGAAAGTTAGTGGCGCTCTGAAAGGTGGCATAAATGCACCAATTAAAAGACAGATTATGAGGGTGAATCAAAAACAAAACCCACTTTAAATATAAAGACACATAATAT